GGGGGGAAAAAAGGGGGGGGGGGGGGGGGGGGGGGGGGTGAAGGGGACTCGCTACTACCCGCACATGGCATGGTTGAGTGTTGAGCGCAGTCAAACCTCTGCAAGACAACGTCAGGCATAGTTTTGTCGGCCACGCATGCGCTGCATCGACGGCCGTATACACTAAGGCCGGCAAATCGAACCGAATCGAATGAAGGGCGAGCAGTAACATGTACGCAAGAAAAAGACATGAGCGCAGAAAAAAATCGAGCTGACGGGCGGGAGAATATGGAGCGTTCGCCTTTTCGGATATCCCATATTCATACTGGATACCGTAAGCATAAAGAGTATTCGCCCCCTCCCCCGCCTCCTCGGCGGGTGGTAGGAATAATCGGATAGCATGCGTACCGCTATCCTCGATCAGCGAGATTCTACCAAGTTTTTTCGTCGCTTGGTAGCCATCATCTAGCTCGCCTGCTTCCCGATGCAGTTCGAGCCGACGAATTTCTTCGAGATGCGCATGGGGTCGCAGTTGAGCATGATGCTGAGGAACGTTCTGAGAGTCGTTCCGTCGGTGAGGGGCAACAGCCCCGCCTTGAACTCTTGAATTAACCTGCACGGAGACACAATCCCAAGGGGGTTGGCGGGGGGGGGGGGGGGGGAAAAAGGGGAACACAAAATTTTTTCAAACAAAATTTCCAATTAAAAAACCAAAGGAAAAAAAAATTTTCCCCCCCGAAAAAGGAAAAGAACACCAACCCATCAATACCGGGGAAGCAAACCCCCCCCAACCCTTGTTGTCCCGGCCTGGCCCAAAAAAAAATTGGGAAAAAATTTGAAAAACCCCCCCTCCCCTGGGGGGGTTGTTTTTGTCCCAAAAAACAACTCTTTTATGGCCCCAAAAAAAAAAAAAAGGAAAACCAAAATCAAAATGAACCCCCCCACAACCCCCAAACCGCCCCCAAGGAAAAAAAAGGAAAAAAAGTTTTCAAGGGCAACCCACGTCCCAAACAAAAGTGAACGTGTCTCCAAAAAAAAACAACAACCCCTGTTGAACAAAAAACACCCACCCCCCGTCAAGCCCAAACTGGGTACCGGGGAAAAAAAAAAGGGGAATCCCCGGAACCCCCCCCTGGAAAACGCGCGGGCTGAAGGTGCCTGGGATCCATT